TCTCTCTCTCTCTCCCTGTCTCTCTTTTGGTTTGGTACCTGGGATTGAACTTGGGTCCTTGTGTTTGTGAGGCAGGCACAGGAACCACTGAGCTAAATCCCCTGCCCTAGTCACAGTATTATGAGACCAGTGAGGCCTCAGCTGTGACCAGAGGTACACAGTTATGTTTCCACATACCATAGGCAGCTCGCAGGCAAGGTGACATTGGGCCTTGGACAGCTGTAGTCATAATTTAATTTTGCAGTGACTTTTTCCCCCAAAATTAAGTAGAATGGCTCCCTATAGGTAATGATTTATCCTGTATTGAAAATCTGCATGCCTAGCCATAGTGTGTCTATAAGTCCCTTTCCTTGTTCATGCTTGGGCCAGGGATGTAGCTCAGTGGTTCTGCTGCCTGCCTCGCAAGTGCAAGGTCCTGAGTTTGATCCCTGGTACCCACCCCAAAGTTCTGCCTTGTACATGCTTATCTGGTTTGAGGTAAATATTGAATAAATCTGAAAAAAATATACTGTAGCAATGTCTGAAGTTTTTTTCTTGGATTACATACATGTGAGACCATACCTAGTTGAGTCATCTTTCTTTAATTGTATTGTTTTTATTAATATATACGCAATATATAATAAATACCATCATCATGCATAATTTATATGAATTTATTTATATATATATATGTGTGTGTGTGTGTATATATATATATATATATATATTTGCATATGGAGCAAGATTTCTTCTTGAGCAGTATATTAAAAGTTTCAAGGAATCGCTTGTAAACCCAGATGAATTTATGGAGGAAAGTTTTTGATTGACACTTCAATATTTGATAGTTTCTTTGACTCTCCAGCATCCCTCCTCTTTTAGTATCTGATTTGAAAGTTAATGTATTTCTAAGAATTTTTTTATGTACAGGCTAAAATTCATTGAATCACAATTTTGTTACATGTTTACATCTCTTTATACATCACTGCCTCAGCAGGAATAGTGGTATCACCTGTAATCACAGTGTGTTCTCCAGCTTTTGCTATACTTGGCCCCTCATTTTTTCAGGTAAGCCTGCTATATGCACCTTTTCATGCCCTGTGGTACATTATGTACAGTAGCCCTTGTGACTATGACTGTCTTGGAGTTTTTCCTGGGGTATTGTTATGGATTAAATCTAGATGTTCTCCCAAAGCATCATGGACTCTAGGTGGAGCTTTTGAGAGGTGACTGGATCATGGGTGTGTGACTGGATTAGACCACTGATGGGTTTACAGCTGGGTGTGAAGTTAGGAGGTAAAGCTTGGGGAGAAGAGGTGGGTTGCTGTGGCTGTGGCCGAGAAATGCCCCCCTTGCCTTACTTATACACACCCAGACATGTGACTTACTAATAACCTAAGCATCTTTCAAGCCAATACGTTTAACAGTAAGTCCACCCATCACATGATTCTGGGTGTGAATTTCACTGTGGGGAAATTAATGTTGAGAGAAGAAACTTTCATTCTGAGGAGTGAACAGTGTACATTATGAAGAATGCAATCTGATAAGGTCTCAGCTATTTCTCCCTCGTCACAGGAAAGTGATTAAGGGTAGGATGACATTGTATATGTTATTCTGGTCCTTCTGCTAAGATTAGTCTTTAGAGTTCTGGATTTCTTTGTGGCCTTGGAATAAGTAAGTTTCCACTGAGGCAGTGGGAATATTTTCTTTCATCTTGATTTCTATTATACCAGCTTCATTTATTAAATATTTATAGTCCCTTTTTTGGTGTGCTTTTAGTTTACTGAAAATGCCTAGATAAGGTCAAGATAATCTGTGCCAAAAAACTCTGTGCTTCATTTAATTTTCTGCCCACTGACAACCTTAGGCCTTTCCTTCTATTTGATTGTGTTTTGCCCTTGCCTGGACCCAGATTTTTCTTTGAGTTCAGTGATTCTCTCCATGTGATGTTGACTCTAAAAGTGCAGTGGCACAGTTGTGATTTTAATGATCTTATTTTCTCTCTTTTTTTTTTTTTTTTGGTACCGGGGATTGAACTTGGGTCCTTGCATTTGGGGGACAGGCCACTGAACCACTGAGCTAAATCCCTTGCCCTTGATCTTACTTTCTTTTGGCATTTATTGTTTGTTTGGTTGGTTTTTTGAGACAGGGTCTCACTATATAGTTGAGACTGAGCTGGAACTCACTATGTAGCCAGGCTGGTCTTGAACTCACAGCGATCCTTGTGCCTCACCCTCCCAAGTGCTGGGATTACAGGCATGCACCACCATACCTGACTTCTTCTTTTTCTTTTTCTTTTGTTTTTGAACTGGGGATTGAACTCAGGTCCTTGTGCTTGTAAGGCAGGTGGCAGAACCACTGAGCTAAATCCCCAGCCCTGTGATCTTATTTTCAAAGACAAAAGAAAAGAAAGTGCCCATGAGGCCAATAAGGAGACACAGGCAGCTCTGCCAAGCTAAAGGCAAATCCTATTTCTAAGCAGTGATGCAACAGGCTGGATTAAGTAAATGTCCTTGGAGAAATCCTGGACCAGGAAGGGTTTTGTCTAGAGTGTGTCATTTGGGCCCTACTCAAGTGGCTATTGTATTGCTTTTCTTTTCTCTCTTAGCTCAGTGGGCAGAAAATGGAGCAGCCTTGCATCAGTGAAGAAGAGTTTCTGTTGTATGAATTGTCCAGTCAGGCCCATTCAGCAAGAAAGAGTCCTCTGTCAGGCACTCAAGTGAGAAGCACCCAGTGTGTTGCTGAGAGGCTCCCGACCTGGCCTAGCCTCTCTTGCTCTATGAATTCTACCAACTGGCTGCATGGGGAGGTCCTAGGAGAGCCTCAGCCCCCAAACTAGTAATTATGCAGGGCCACATGCGTGGTCCACAACAGGAGTGAGGCCTGTGGTGGATGCAGACTTGTGGTTAGAAGTGGACAGAACCAGCTTTGGCAGGATCTTTCTGGGCCTTCCTGGATCAGGTGATTAATCATTATTCACATATGTCAGCTGTCACTGGTACACATTTGGTCCTTTCTCACCCTCTGGGTGGGGCTGGTACATCTGCCAGGCCCTAAGCATCCTGTCCTGGGCCAGTGAGGTGGCTTTACCATGGCCAGAGCCTTTCCTTGCCAGCTCACCACCTGCAGCCCAGTCCTTACCATGTTGTTCAGTGAGAGGAAGGGAGGGTTGGGGAGATGTACCACACGTGTGTGAGGTCTCTGTGTGGGTGAGACTGCTGTGTTGGGTGCCCTGTTTTTTTCCTCCCAGCAGCAGACTGGGTATTATGGTTTATATCCAAAATGTCTCCTAAATGTAACATGAATTTGAAAGTTGGTTTGTGTAGGACCTCTCATCAGTGAATTCATTTGTTGTGGAGTTCAGTATCATAGTGTTCTTTTAAGAGGTGGGGAAATATTGGAGGTGGATGATTTTCCTAATTAAAAACGGAGTAGAGAATTTACCTCTGAAGAAGCAAAACATCTTTATAGGTAAATTAAGCATTTTTCATTTGCCATAAATATGCCTAAAGATCCATAGAATAATGATACAGGTGAACAAACCACCCATGGTTCCTTCCATTGCAAACTTTGATATCGTCTAGCTACAACCAAGGTGGCCACAGGATGGATTTTGTGGAAGCTCCTTGGACCTTAACAGTTTCTTCATGCAAAGTATTATTTGGTTTAAATT